TGAGTCGCGGAACTTACGGTAGACGGAAGTTCTGCCTACCGATGGAGCCAATCCAGCAGCATTGAAAATGCATCGTCATGGTGAATCTTCGTCTTTGTGTGTTTGCTGTAGCCAACTAAACCAAACACTCACAAAAAAAGAAAAGAAAACGCTCAGAATTATGGCGCCCACAGTCTGTGATTGATTTAGGCAGGGACGGCAAACGCATAAAGACGGCCAGTGCCTTGAATACTTATACATTTTTGGGGCGGTCGTATTTAAAGTAAAACCGAGTATAACTGTTTCACTTTAAGTGCGAGTATGGCGAGTTACGAGCACGTCGTGTTCCCTCTGTAAATTGGAGCGATTGGCTCTCTTCCGTACTTGGCGGGAAAGTGTAGACGCACTGGATTGTGTAATGCGTGGGGCGGCATTGCTAATTATTGCAGCAACGTAAAGCGGCACAGGTAGTATTGAAATTCGTTTCGTTTCACTTTTAAGTCAGAGCTCCCCCCCCCTCCCCCCCTGACAAAGTCCACAATACGCACAAACGCATACATACAGATGAAAAGCGCTTGGTCACTGCGCCGATCTCTGCATTCGATTAAATGAGCGAGGGGTAAAGCCCCCACAGAAAAACAACTCAAACGCCATGACGGGGCGTTTTCGGTGCTCCTTTTTTGGTCCCCTCCTTTAAAGAATAGGAAATGAGCAAATCTTGATAGTGGTCAATAAGCCCTCTAAGTATAGACTTAATGTCCATTCTTTACGAAAAAAAAAAAATCTGTAAGTTTTTTTTTTTTGTCTTTTTTTGCAGAACACTTGGTGCGAACTACAAACATGAACATTGAAAAGGCACCAGAGGAAGACAATGCTCACAATAACTGTACACCTAAAAAAAAGTGCGATGTGTGCAGGGGGCAATGAGCATGGTGTTTCAATTGCCCACGCCCACATCGCATTTTTCAGATTTGCTCATATTCCGAGTTTATTCCTTCGCTGGGAATCTTCCATTGCACTCCCTGATTGGCTACCTTCCTGTTCTGCAAAAACAAAAAAAAAATACTTCCAGACCTTTTTTTTTGCGTAGTCATTACAGGGTTTACTTTGAACCATTCCTGAATTATTCGACGTTAACTACTACCGAAACAAGTTTTGTAGGAATAATATTTTTTGGAAATAACTTTAATTTATTCTAAAAGAAAATGAAAGTTTCCGTGCAGGCTCGCCATTTAAATTTCCGCAAAAGTTTCCGACGCCAAAAATCCCAAGTTCTTCCGCGGGAGAAACTAAAATATCGAGTTCGCGGAAACACCTTCCGGAGCAGCGAAGCAGAACGAAATCACGGCGGTTACCACAACGAGCCTCTGTTATTCGCAAGAAGCCCAGATCAAATTCAAAAGGGGAAGAACAAGTCGAGTTGGATGAGGTTACCACTTTCTTTATCATCCAAACTTCCGAGCGCGCTAACTTTCTACATTTATTGGTACATTTATGTATTGAGCGCATTTACGCAATCTTTCAGTTGTCGCTAAAACGTTTGGCGCCCTACCCACGTAACAGCCAGGCCTGTGTACTATACGTATGCGTTAGAGAATTGCAAACACTACATATAAAAGCGTCGTTCTGACACTGACAGGCAGGGTCGTTCATATGTATTGAGCGAAACGCTTCTAAAGCAAACTAGTGTGTGCCAACAGCCGCCATAACCTCCCCCCCCCCCCCCCCCCCCCCCCCCCCTGGGAGAAGTGTTCCTCCAGTTTATAATATAGGAGACGTGGGTCTTTTCCTTTAAAATATGGCGGTTTTAGGATTACGCAAATGTCACTCGGTGGAGCGAACGTGGCGGTGGTAAAAACGGGCCAACCGTTTGCCCGAGTGCACTCTGCTGCGTCATCGTCAAGCCCTTAACCCCCGGAAGGCTGTCTTTACCTAAACATGAGGTTCATCTTAAAATTGGTCCACGCGCGCTGCCGCACGAAGCCGCGTGAAACCGTTGGCACCGCTGTCTCGTTGCCAAAAGATTTGGGGTTACGATTGCTAAAGAGTGCGCGCAGGTGCACTCGAGTTAGCGCCAGTGATGGTGTTGCAACCGTGGAAGACCCCTAAAACTTTCTTAGAACGCGTTCACTTTGCGTTGAAAAACCTTTATATTTTTTACACTTTTATAATGCGTCTATTTACTTGCCCTGTTCTTGATTGTTTTTAATTATCAGGTAATGGTGCGACCTTATAAGCTCCATCTGACTGGCGAAGTTTTTTAAGTTATCAAGATTTCACTGACTATAATGGTTTATGATTGTCGTTGACTACGGCGTCGTGTTTTGTCCTTGGGAAGGCTGCATTTCCTAACTAAATCGTCTTTTGGTCTCCGTCATTCGTTGAACGTGTTTGATAGATTATAGTGGTTGACTTTCAGCGTTCTTCAAGTCTATCAGTGTACGCATTTTTTTAAAGATTTTTTTAGGGCAAGTATGAGAGAGAAAAAAATGCAATCAACCGTTCATCATTAAACCTGTTAGCAATTCATCGTGTTCAGTCGTCCTTTCCTCAATCAAAATTTCCCTGTGTCAAACTAATTGTTCGCTTACCCGCTTATCCAGGAAATAAAACAAAAGGTACCCTGTGGAACGTTTCAACTGATTCGTTTCTAAAGGTTCCTCAATAAGTTTAATTGAGCGGCAAGGATGAGAAACAAATTGAGATGAGAATACATTTTGTAACCTGCAATTCTTTGTCATCGTGCTACAGCGAGTATTGTTACATTTTACCAGTGCGGTCTATTTTTCTTTTCCCATACCTTCTCTTTCCGCGAAGAAGTGGACACAAACATTGGATTGTCTTTGGAGCTACAAGAGAGTAAGGTACCCAGAAAGTTATAATTCCTATAATTGCACCGACACTAGTCTAGAAGAATAGGTTACAGAGGTCGTTTCCGGTAGCGGCTAGATGACTAAAGCAAGTGCGAGTATGGCAGCTAACAGGCACACAAATATTAATTACTAGGTTTCTCAGGGAATAACCAAACGCTCACCGCAATGATAATTTAAGGCACGTCGTTCCCGACCCATTAATATTTTTAAGAGTGTTTGTTTGGGTACGTGCTTCATTTAGTGCTTAAAGAGTAAACTTGAGAACAAAGTAAGACGAACTCTGTCGAAACCCCACATCACTAACCTCGGAAACTCGTTGGTGTGACGCAACGTGGTTGCAGAAATCACCACCGTTCATTAACTTTCGTTCTCGCCGTCAATTTAAATATTCATACTTCTTTGAGTATCGCTACTCCCCTGCATAATCATCAGAGTAAACTGTAAAAAAATTACAGTGCGTAATGAACCTGATGAAAGCTCGTTGCCAGAGGAATCACCTTGTTTTGTTTTTCGTTGTAATTCACCGGCATCAAATATCTTTACCTGTTGTTGTTGTCGTTGTCGTTGTCGTTGTCGTTGGCGTCGTCGTCGTCGTCGTCGTTGTCGTCGTCGTCGTCGTCGTCGTTGTTGTTGTTGTTGTTGTTGTTGTTGTTGTCGTTGTTGTTGTTGTCGTTGTCGTTGTTGTTCTTGTTGTTCTTGTTGTTGTTGTTGTTTCTACAGGTTTCAATGATTTATAGCAAACGTTAAGTTATATATTACGTTTTTTTTGCATCGGGTGTGTTTCTTAGCGTGATGCGAATACGTGTTTCCATGCTTGCTTTGTCTTTTAAGCCCGGGTTCACACTGCTTATACATCACGCAAAAGACGGTCCGCATACAGATTCGAACGCGAGTTATCGCGAGATTCGTGCTTCGAATGCCCCATGACCATAAGTTCAAGGAGAAACTTGCCACGCGGCATTCGAGCCACGGATAATGCGCGGTGAATCGTGTCTGCAGACTGAATTTTGTACGATACATTAGTAGGGCTGGGCGTCGATTAAAAATATCAACGCGATTAATCGCCACCCCTTAATCGATTAATTAATTGATTAATCGGTGTCGTTCATTCCCACGCATAATAGTTTTTTTGTTGTTGTTTTTTTAAGTCGAAATTACTTTCTTTCTTTTCTTTTCTTTTTTTTTTGCCTTTGTTGAATATAGCAAAATGTACACATTGTACAACAAAACAAAACAAAATATACAATGTACGACACGGCAAAATGTACACATTTCAGATTTTAAATCAACCTTGATGCGTAGTTGAGAACCGTCAAAAAGACGCCCAAATTATTACTTCAGCAGCCGAGGCAGAGACGTTTGTCGATATTCTCTTTTGATTGTTCACGACAAGTCTCTGCTGCGCTAAACGGACACTCGCACGGCGTTGAAGTGACTATGACACGTAAATACAAGCTTCTTCGCTTGTTTAAAGTCACAAATCTCGTCGTACAGTTTACTTTAGATCAAAGTTTCACCTAAAGTTTGCTTTCGTACAGGTGTACTCGTCCACGTTTGCGTGGTGAAAGCGTTCAATTTTACTTTCTTTTGGTTCGTCAAACTTTGACTGATTAGCGTGTTAAGAAGTTAATCGCGATTAAAGCATCGATTGATTAATCGGTAGGTTAATGGAACCCAGCTTGACATCCCCAATCTTTCTGTTCGTCTTTGTCTTCTGCACAAGATTTATAACCACCCAACCTCACATCACTCCCTGCTTCACCCGCCAACTTACGTCTCTCCGAGGTTTGATGATCCTTGCAAGGTAGCCCGGCCCAAATGCAACTCAACTACCTACCTTTATTCTGCCCTTCCGGACGCCATTGTGAGCTGGAACGACCTTCCGGAGAATATCGTCACCGTCAGCGACGGCGCCTTGTTTCGGAGCGTTATGTCTAATCGCCTTACTAACCCTCACTCCCCTCTGTAATGTATCTGGTCTTGAAGGTATTCGAAATAAACAAATAAATAAATAAATAAGTAAACGTAAGCCCAGTTCTATGTATTAGCACTGTGAGCGCGGCTTAGAGGTGTGCGGTAAAAATAAAAAAAAAAAATAAAAAAAGTTATGAGCGGTAATAAAATAAGCATGGACTGCGGGCGACACTCTCCTGAACGAAGATTTATTGCGCCAACGACGTCATCAAACGTCCGCTGTCTCGTCGCAGCGTCACTCCAAAGAGGCGGTTTGTTCGTTGGGATTTGGGAGTGCCTTCGGCGGTGGACCCTGAGCATTTTCTTCTTTTTTTTATTTTTTTTTTTTTTTTCTTGTGACCGCGTGACCTTTTTCTTTCGGCGTGACAGATGTGTACATCAGGAATCTGGTTGACTTGGTAAGTTGCTCATGATCTTTTCCTGAAAGAAAAACATAGCACTTATGCGAAGGGAATGTTATTGCCGCTACATTTTAAAGAGCCTGTCCAAACGAAAAATGTTACCCAGCTTTGTCATTCCCACGGCATTCAGACTAGGATTTTTTTTTTTTTTGTAGGTCCCTCTTTGTATTTGCACAGTCCGCGTCATTCAATGTTATAAACATATAATCGTGGTGTTTGAACCTTGGGACTGGGAAGGATACTTGAAGAGAAAGTAGAATGGACAGATGAAAGTGGACAAACAACGTCTCAAACTGAGTCGCTCAGTTTGAGACGCCGTCTGTGCGCTTTCATCCGTGCCTTCGACTTTATCTTCTAGCTACCTTCTCAGTCTCAATGTTTAAACATCACGATTAATGCGCCCCAATTCGCTTTCACCATCACTTGTTTTCTCTCGACATTATTTTAAATTATTTTTACCAGTGGGTTGAGATCTAAATTATCAATGGTGTCACTAACGAGTTGACCGAAAATGCGTGCACCCTTTATCACAACATACATGATGGTCTAAGTACATAGCCAATAGCCTACTCATTGTTGTCGTTGTGTCAACAGGGCGCTTTACGAAACTTTCCCGACCTATTGACCATTCCAAAATTCGCTTTCTGCGCGCTGCCATCTTGGTCTGCTGGGCTGTGAAACGCGTTCTGAGCAAGCGCAGCAGCTCTCTTCTGCAACCTAGTGACTCAGCATCTTTTGTCTCGACTGATGGGCGCTGGGAATGAATACAGGGGTACTCTGACATCTATCGGGTTTAGCATCTGAATGACTGACGGGGAACGACAGTGAACCGTTAAGCTCAGAAAACTGTACTTTACTGTGTTTGCGAAAGGAAACACTGAATGCACACTATTTATATTTATCAAAGAGGTGTAGGCAAGGACACATGTACAAGATGTACAAAACGCTGTACAAATTGTACAGCAGTCCTTTTCTTTTTTTTTTTTTTCGTAAAATTAAATTACGCATTGATGAACGTTGATTGTGAGCCCAATGTAGCGATTGTAGTTCAAACCGAACTTTCAGAACTAACCGTTTATTTAAAACTTTAAGTTATTTTCTGAAATGTTCAGTGGGAAAATAGCTGCCGACGGAGCTCTCAAATGCATGGAGCTGAATAGCGCCAGTTATTGAAAACTGGAGAAAACGAGCTTCACTCTTCGATTGAAATTTTAGAAAATACCTGATAACTTTTGAATGAGATAACGGTTAGTTCTCAAACTTGGGCACTTGGTTCGGACCGCTAGCGATATATTTGGGTGGAGAATTAACGTTCGGCGATACGTTAAATATCGCGACCTTTAAGCACGAAGAAGAGAAGGTGATTGCCACACCGCGGAGACGTCATATTTGAATTTTGGTACATCACCGTTCATGCTGCTAATATGAACAAAATAATCCGTGTAGCGCTCCACTGGCACACCCGTCGTGCAAATGAAATAACAAATCAAGCCACGCGTTCGCAGCAGTAGCTTTGACAGTGTTCCACAGTGTAGCTTTTGGATGGCCGAAATGATCCCTGGAAAAGGGGAACAAGGGGGGGTACAAAGGACAAACACAAATTTCCAGACACAGTTAGGTGATTGGTGCGCGACCGAAAAAATCTGCTTGGTCCCGCATGGTATCGAACCAGGGACCTCTCCATTTCCAGTTTCCAGCGCTTTCACCTTCCCCTGAATTGCTTTATCATAAAAAGCTTTCGGAGTCGTCGCACAACGAAGAATTAAGCTTCTTTTGGAAACTGCCCTTAAAAACGTTGACAAATTCCGCTCTTTTATTTTTTTTTTTTAAGCAGGCTTGTTTTTGCTTTTTTTTTTTTACAACAGAAAAATTAATAATTGTGTAAAAAAACGACCCTAAGCACGCTACGCTGCACTGTTAGCGCGAACAAGACATCGACGTCTATTCGCATATTATTTTGGAAGAACCTTGGAGGGCACCATATTTTACCATCTCGGTTAACGCCTCAAAAGAGCGCTTTCCAGTACACTGGTAGCACCTGATGACTCCCTTTCAATTTTAAGGGGGGGCTAGGTGGCGCAAGCTACCGCCCATTACAAAGGATATAGCCATTAACATCCATCCATCCATCCACTTGTTCGCGCTAACAGCTATGAGTCGTTCGGAGGTACTTCGGGGGATACGCATTGGGATGTCCTTTTAACGTGGTGTGTGCACACTCCTCGTTGCTGTCGTCGCACGAGTTACTCGATCTGAGCGGCACTCACATCCGTAGTACTTTCCAGGGTGCCCCGCGTATCCGGGCGGCGGAGGGACGCCGTAGTGAACGGCTGCGGGGGCAGCCACCACCTTGGCGGCCGTTGCAACGGGAGCTCCGTATACCAGGGGGGTCGCCACAGGACCGGCGTACACCTGGGAGGAGCAAAGTGCCGTGCCAGACACGTAAAAAGAAGAAAAAGTCAATACTCTGAAGAAATGCCATGTACCTCTCTACTCTCCCTTAGAGCACGTGTCGGATCACAATCCCTGCGATTTATACGGCAAGCAAATGATTCGAAAAGCGTTGTTGTTGTTTGTGTGTTTTTTTTTTGTTTTTTTTTTGTTTTGCGCATCGGAACGCGAGGAAGGAACACGCTAATCAAAGAGCCAACCAGAAAAACTTCCCAAGAAATGAGCGATGAAGAGGTAACCAGGCACGCGCCGCCATTGTCTGAGCTCATCTGCCCCCATACGCAAACCAATGTCAACATCCTCGAAAGTGTTCAGAGGAAAGCGATAAGATTTGTTCACCTTAAGTATGGTCGCTTTGATTCCCCTACAGAATTGCTGAAAAGATCCAGCCTACTGACCATTGCTGATCGCGCCAAACTAGGAAGACTCAAATTTTTATATCTCCTTTTAAACGGCGCCTTTAAAATGGACAAGAACAAGTATGTGAATTTTTCCCAGGCAAGAACAACAAGACATAAGCACTGCAATACATTAACTGAATACTCTTTCAATTATAATACTTTTAGGTACTCTTTCTTTCCTTCAGCTGTAAGAGATTGGAACAGCCTTGATCCGCTGTTTTTTAACTACACAAATGTGGATGCGTTCATTCAAGCTCTTGAACAAGACCTTCTCCGCAAGTTCATCAGTTAGTTCTTCCTGTTATGTTTTGTTTTGTTTGTTTCAATATGAAAGGAAGTGACGATTTCTAAAAATTACTGTTTTTCGCGCGCCTCAAAAATTGTGTGTGTTGTTTTTATTTGTACCATACCTGATATAATCCCTCAATGGGGATTGGCAGTATTTTGAAAATAAATAAATAAATAAAAATAAAAATTTGGGGAAAACGAAAGCACCTGGACGGATTGGGCAGATAAAGAGGCACGCGATGTGCTCTATAGGAGGAGACCAACTCGCCTGCCATGTATGCAAGACGCGTCTAGCGAATGATTAGGCACCAGAAAAGAAAAATAAAAGGTATACGATTCGAATCGACAAGCTGCATACACTTTACGGAATCTAGTGTGTCTGTTTTCCCGCAAAGAACTCGCTAGAGTAAGTAGGGAGTTTCCGTATATCGTTTTGTGCCGTCCCGCAACGCTCTCCGCGATCTGCTACGATACCCGGAACACCACAGTCAAGGCCATGGGCGCGCAGGCGCAGTAGCGGCTTCTTCGTTGCGGAGGGAGGAGGCGCGGTCAACGAAAACTCCCTATTAGCTGCCATCTACGGAGGGAGTTTCTCGAATGAGAAAGATGAAGATACTTCCAAAAGAAAACAGTCCGCGCAGTGACACTGAGCATGTCGTCCCGCGTGCTTACGCCTTGCTGGGTGTTACAGTACAAGACCGTTCAGCGCTGTAACATGCATGGTGGAAGCGGCCGTGCCCACATCATTCCTCAAGCAAACGAGCGTCGCAACCTATATAGTTCTTATAAAGTTTTCGGCTCTATCCGGCAAAGTACCTTGGCAACGGGCGGACCAAAGGCAACTGGAGCAACAGCCGGAGCAGCAGCCACCACTCTGGCCGGAGCGCCGTACGCTACGGGAGCACCGTGCACAGTCTTCGTCGAGTACGTTGTTGAGACAGCGGCCGGAGCGGCGTACGCTACGGGGGCCGGGCCGTAGCGCGCCGGTGCTGGAGCCACGGCGTAACCGGCCGCGGGTGCGGCGTAGCTAACAGCGGCTACCGGTTTGGCGTAACCGACGGCCGCGGGCCCGGCGTAGCCAAAAGCAGCTACCGGCTTTGGGAAACCTGCAGGGACGTAGCCAAGAGCGGCTGCTGGTTTAGCGTAACCAACGGCCGCGGGTCCGGCGTAGCCAAAAGCTGGCTTTGGAGACCCTGGGGCTACTGGTCTGGCGTATCCAACCGCGGTGGCTGGGGCAGCGTAGCTGACGCGGGCGGCTGGTGCGGCGTAGCCAACGGCCGCAGGTGGCGCGTATCCGAAGGTTACGGGAGCGACCACGGATCCGGAGTGCGCGGTCCAAGCGACGGCAAGGAGGATCAATCCGGGAGCCTGAAAAGATATACGGTGCTGGTTGGTATCCAGTCGAGTTTGTGAAAAGGGATCCGTGAAGAAACGTAAGTGGGGACCCAAGGCCACGGTGACGTGCCTTCTAAGGGAAAGAGTAACTTCCCGCTATGCAAGAGCGACCGCAATATTTGATGCGAGTTCATATAGAGAATCGAACCGCTACAGCGCAGTTCCAATTATAGCACAACTACCGTTGGTATAATTATAAACAATAAGACATGTTCTGGACTGGATACGGAAGACGTACCTGAGTTGACAGACGCATCATAGTACGAGTGCATTTTTTGTCCCTTGTGTTCTTTTACAGGAAACGATATGCACAAAAACACTAAAAAAAAAACTCACGATTTTTTTTTTTTTTTTTTGCAGCTGCGGTTAAATCAGTTTTGATAATCTGAAAAAGTAGGAGAAGTAGTTGCAAACCGCTTTTACAACCACAACGGCATTCACGTTCGACAAGACGCGAATGACGGATCCTCATTGATCAATCTTCGCTTTCTCTTAACAACTCTCATAGAATATATCTATTCGTCTTCTACACAATGTAGAACAAATGTGGTGTCCGCTTTCCCGATTTCGGCGTCACCACACCGTCCAGCTGCCTGCACTGAACCTAGGTTCATAAAGCTAAGGTCACGACAAATTGCTGCGTTCGTAATCATCTACTAATTTCCTAATTGGGCCGACGTGTTCCCTGCATACTTACGGTGAACATGGTGGCGGCGATTCTTAAGATAAGCACTGTGCACACAACCAGACTGATTCTGCTGCGAATTTGTCGGTTTACGAGGGAGAGGGAAGAGGATTCGTGCCAGATCTGGAGTACGCTTTCGCTGTCCCCAACTTGCGCTTTTATACCGACGCAGTGGGCGGGCAACTAAGGGGTAAAAAGAAGCGCTCCCGCGTCTACGTAAATGTTTGCTCGACAGACAAGACACTCATCCGTGGGGAGAGCGACGTGAAAGCGTTGGTCGTTTTCACGTCGCTTGATGCGGTTTTTATTCACCTCATTTTTATTTATTTGCTTCGCTTCTGCCGACGGCCGTGGCGGGTTCTGCTCAGACCTGACCTAGAATTGCTCCCCTGATCTCACTTCAAGAAGCTATAGGGGCCCTCTGGCATTCCGCATGCATTCATCGCGAGCTATTTTGTCAGCCGTGCGCTCGCGTGCAACGCTGGGAGAGACTGGTTGGGGTCCATCTTTTGCAACTTCTCAAGCACAAACACTGACTCGAATGAATCTCCCCGACAGAAAAGGCCATTAAATAAAATCAGAGGGAGAGAAAATCCCATTAGACAATGTTTAATGTAATATTTTGCTTTCTGCTTCTTTTTTTTTATGTGAGTGACAACGTTTTGTGTGTCGTCAAGCAAGCACACTGCTCAATGAAGTGAGCGTTCAACCACTTTCAATCAATCACAAAAAGCAATAACTCAAGCGGCCATTTTTACAGTCGATATTCTTAACCTGCCTGCCATGTTGCCGATTAGACGATATCCTGACCAACCCGGTAGATATAGTTGGTACAGTTAGATGCAGAAGTACGTTAACCGTAAGGGGAACACTGCAACGGCTGGGGTGTTGCGTCGGAGCCGCTAAGGTGTCATTTCGGATCCTATGGACTGAATGGATTGTGAAGGTTCGACCGCGCGCCATAGAGTTTGCATAGGCGTTTCGTATTAAAACGAGTAACACACGAGACGAAAATTCCATAGCGTTTTGGAACCAATGAGGGCGTGGGCGTACCAACCAAGGGGGGGGGGGGGGGGGCGCTAGCCCCCTCCCCCCCCCCTTTCTTGAAACAGTTGCCACTGGGCAGGGCAAACACTGGCCGGCGGCGCCCAAGGAATACAAAAGGCATGCCCTCCTCGCCCTTGGGTGGGGGGGGGGGGGGGGGGGGGGGGTCTGGTTTGCTCCCCACTCAAAAACAAGTTGGTACGCCGCTGAATGAGGGTTATTAGGTAGAGAGCATTTCGCGAACCTGTTAAACAATTTTATTGGACACAGACTAGGGCTTCCTCGTGGTAACTGAAGAACACTTCGAATATCGCGCGCCCAAGTTTGAAATCCAGGGTATGACGAAACTGCACGTGTATGCATGAACCGTTCCCTGTCGTTAATGTGGCTGCCTGAACGTCTTACGCAATTTTATTGGACACATACTAACACCGCCTTGTGGTCACTGAAGAACACTTCCAAAATCGCGCACACAAGTTTCAAGCGTTCACTTAAAAACAGTGAACTAGAAAAAAAAAACAAAAAAAACAAGCGTGTAGCTCCACCTAATTTCACGTTCGTGGTTTCACCGGTTTAACACCCACCCAGCTTTATTCGCTTTATCGCCCGAGGACCTTTCGGGCATAATTAGCGAAAACGCTTTGTTTTTATTCTTTCCATTAAAAGCGGTCTCATGTTCATGCTTGTACGTGCCGTCATGGTGTGACATGACGACGTATTGTCACGTGACGTCTGAATGCCACGTGACGTCACAGTTTCACGTGACTTACGGTGCCACCTGACGTTATTAAGTCGGGAGGCGTCGCTGTGCAACGTGACTTGACAGAACAATGTCACGCCATGGAGTCAGCTGACACCAGATAACAGGTGACCTGATGGGCGGAGTGACGTCAGAGTCGTGTCGAGCGGCGTGTCGAGAGCGACGTGACGTCAATGTGGAATCTTTTGGCGGAGTGCTGAGAATGACCCCACTCAATATGGAGCGCGGTCAACAGTGCAAAACCCGCGAAGTTTCCCACTAACTGCTATCGCAATAAAAACAAAAAACAAAAACAAAACAAAAACCACTTTGAACACTTAACTAAAGCTGTTCAATGTATTTTTTATTTTATTTTTTTTTTATGGCAATGGCTAGGTTTTTTTTTTGGTGAACACTGAACCTTTTGCTCCCGAACGTGGCAAAACGGATTTGTTGGAATTCGCCCTTTTCAGATATGTAGTTACCAGTTGGAAGCTCACTGATTTCGAGCGAAGCAGAACTTGCCAGGAATAGGTTGACATTGTGTATCTGCCCTGTGGGTGCAGTGATTGCTCGACTTTGATGGAAGACTTAAAAAGTGTCCTTTCTATTACGGCGTGACTCATTTACTTTACCGTGTATACAAGGATACGTAAATGTTTTAAACACTTTCAAATCTGAAAGCTATACAAACCTGCATTTCACGAGTATCTACAAATAAGGTAACTGAAGAAGGCACATAAAATATTAACTTTAGGGGGGAAAAAAAGGTATTATAATTATGATTCGTAAACCTGCCTCTGTATGCTTTGTCAGATAAAAGAAACTGCACGCCTTCAGCTGTTTCTGTTTTCACCGTTGACCTGACCGTAAACACGTTTCACTCACAGTTACTATGGGTAATAAAGTGGGTAATGATATAATTCTAAACTTGTTCGAACTTTGCTATTTTTACACTGTTCAACCTAAGTGAACTATGCAGTTGACGTGCTATTTATTTGCACGTTGCACATTCAAATTTTTTTTTCTACTTGCACGATATTGTACCCTAAAACACAGTGATAAAAAGATAATGGTACACCTACAAAAGTCATTATTAGGCTCATAATCCAAAGTTCCAGTCCGAGTCAATATCGTTTGCTCATAAGCTTCCAAATTGTTTTACCATCCACCATTATCTTTAGATTGTGCCCCAGTCGGCTTCCCCTCCAATCACAAAATTACCACCGTATTTCAAGATATACAAATCATTCTGGAAGTGCACATACACCTACTCAGTGCCCTCGATTTTCAAAAACGCTCGTAAACATATATTTTGAACACAAATTAAGAGAACACGTAACTTCTCTTGTTTGGGCTACGCGTCGCCCTGCGGTTATCGAAATCATCTCAGTGTTCCATCTTTCGTCACCCAACCTTGCGCTCACATCGCAGCGTGCACGCTCTTCTAAAGGCCCAGCGCTCAGCAGTTTGCCGAGGCAAGCAAACGTTCTCGAGATGGTGCGTGTAATCGAATATATGTTTGCGCTTAAATGGTTGTCGTCTTGCTCGCATGGCAAACAGCAACGAAAGATTATTTGAAGAGAGCTTATAGAAATTGCCGTGGTCGTCCATTTCGCCACTACATACCCACGCTTCGCGTCTTCGGGAAAGCTTTTAGGTAGAACGAGAAAAGAAAAAGCCTCAAGATACTTCGAGGCTCGATAAATGCAGCCGTAATACCTCGTGGTATAACTGTGTGCGTGCTGCGACTGGCGAGGCCGTTAACCCTAATCATCCTTGGTCTTCGACGGCAAACGATGGGGCGGTGCTGCAATTTGCCGTCGCCGAGAAATCAGCGTATGCGCTCGCGGCTCAAAGCCTTAGATGCGTTCTGGCAGTCATAATCGCAGCTCTGTATGTTTGTAAAGGTTACGAAAATTTTAATGAAGTGTCGCCACGAAGACGCCTTGAACCTAAAAAAGGTCCGCTACTGGAGGACGTTTGAAACGCGCGCGGTGAGTTTGTTGTAGTCATGGCTTCTGATTATGCATCCGCAGTCAATGGGCATGCCGCATCAGCGAATAGGAACGCCAGAAAGCTAATCACGTGACAAGAAGCATGAACATAAGCGTCTCTTAAGATGTCAGTGACTAGAGTATCTTAGATGTCAGTGACGAGAGTCATAAGCGTCCATTGACGAGAGTAAAATATTTATTTCTTTATTTTCCAACAAAAACAATTAATGACGTCGGAGATGTCGGGGAAGAGGCTCTTGAAAACAGCTTGAATAGCCCAAGCCTCCATGATACAACAGCAGAGAAGCACGCGTCAAAAAGTTGACTTTCACATTTATAACTAGACGATAAACCGCATGAATTGGTGAAGTAATGAAACGCAAAAATAAAGACACATGTTCGTCGTTTTTCGTCCTGAGTTTGTTTTATTCTTTCCGTGGTCAGTACACCAACTGCTGGCGCACCTTTAGGTCAAGAATAAAACGCTTCATGCAGTCAGGCAAACCTTTCAAATTTATGGCATTTGATTAGAAATTGCACTCTGCTATGATGCTGTTTACCGATAAGTTGTCGAGTTCAATAACGATGCTGTCATTGCGCGATAACGATGTTGTCATTGCGAGAAAAAGGAAAAAATGTTTAGTCATCAGTATTGCTAACTTTTTTTTTTAATTGTTGTCGCAGTTGTTAGCGTCGTCGTGCTGTTGGTGGCGGTGTGGATTATTGGTGCTATTATTGCTTTATTGTTTGGGAAATATGCACGTTTGTGATCGCCGTTAAAACAATAAACA